GTGGAGTGCATACTCGTCACTCCAGACTGTGATGGTGGAGTAACGACGAGTAGGTGTTTTGAACAGCTTCCGTCTTTTCAACGACAGGTCGAATGTCCTGTGGACAGGGGCATGCCGGCTGACGTGCTCGCGGGCAGCTGCGTGGGTCGCTTGATTTCCCTGCAGACCCTTGTGTCCAGGCACCCATAATATACAAGTGTATGGGAGTGGAATGCTTCGCCTTTTCAAAATATTGATGGCATTGGCTGAGATACGGCCCTTAGCAAAATTTCTGCAGGCGGTTTGTGAGTCGGTGAAAATCACCGCGGTGTCTGTACATGTTGTGGTTGCTAGTGTGATTGCCGATTCTTCTGCGGCGTCTGAATTGAGTGCGTTGACCGTGGCCGACGCCAATTCTCGGCCTTGATAATCCTCGACGCTGACAGCGTACGCGTTTCTATGCGGATACTGGGTCGGGTCAGTGTAGCGGGCATCCGGGTCTTCATTAAACATTCGTTGAATAGCGTTAGCTCTAGCCTTGCGTCTATTTTCGTGGAAAGTAGGATGGATGTTGCGTGGAATAGGTGCGATGGGCAGCGACTCTCTAACGTACAGCGGGATGCGCTTTTCCCGGTCTGCATCGGCGATGAACGTGTCACTGTAATTGAGGTACCAGAGCACCGACCTCCCCGTGGGCGTCAGCTTGAGCCTCTCCAGCTGACTGTTCCTATGCACTTCTATGAGTTCTTGCCACGTGTTGTGGATGCCCATGTTTAGGAGACGTGTGGTAGAGGCCATTGGCGGAAGTCCCAGGGCTACTTTAGTGGCCTTTCTTATCATGATATTACGTTTTTCAATTTCAGCGGTTTTGAAATTCAGAAACGGCTTGCCATACGTAATGCGGCTGGTGAACAGAGCTTGCATTATACGTAGCGTGTCATGCTCTTTGAGTCCGTTTCGTTTATTCGCGATCCTCTTGTCGAGGTGCGTGAGTTGTGATAGTGTTCGTTAGAGTCTCGGTAGGGTGGAAGATCCCAATCCATCCTTGTAGATGTGAACTCCAAGTACTCGCAGGGTCTCGACTTTTGGAATTAAGGTCCCTTTGAGCCTTACGCTAGGGTCGGGCTTGTCGTATAGAGGTGGTCTCCTTCTTGTTCTCGCTTTGAGGACGAGGTGCTTGGATTTCTGGGGGGCACAGCAGAGACCGCAGTTTCTGCGATACCGTTCGATGGTATCTACAGCGGTTTGTAAGCAGGTCTCTTGTCTCCCAGTGTTCGGAGCCCTGGTCTAGAGCAGGTTGTCATCAGCATTGTTCGCGAGCCGTAAATCTGTTATTTTGTCGAGAATTTTTGCCAGATTGATCATAGCCACATTGAAAAGTAACAGCGAGATGACCGAACTCTGCTGCGTGCGTTTTTTCAATAGTTGGAAGTTTTTGCTGCGGATGTTGCGTATGCCCACAGTTGCCGTACGGTCCGTCAGAAAGTTTCTGACATACGTGTAGGCTCTAATGCCGCAGCCAACGCCTTCGAGGTTGTTGAGGATCGCGTCGTGGCGGATGTTATCGAAGGCTGCCTTGACGTCGACTCCGAGTACGGAGTACTTTCTTCGATGGGTGAGGTGATCAAGAAAGTCTTTTTTGAGTAGTAGGAGCATGTGGTGCGTAGAAAGATGCTGCCTAAAGCCGAACATGGTGTCCGGTAGGTGTCCACTGTTTTCCAGGTACTGGGTTAAGCGGTCGTGCACCATGTACTCGAACAGCTTTCTCACACACGAGGTGAGAGAAATTGGGCTTAGGTTCTCAATGCCGACTGGTTTGTTAGGTTTAAAAATCATGGTGATTTCCGAGTGCTTCCATACCGCCGGTAGCTCTCCTTCATCCCAGCAGTCGTTGTAATATCGGAGAAGAGCCGTGGTGGCCTGGTGCGGTAGGTTGCGCAAGTGCTTGTTGACAATCCTGTTTATTCCGGGGCTGGTATTTTTTGTCAACTTCGTTAGTGCTGTGTGCAGTTCAGCCTGGCTGAAGGGCCGGTCGAGTTCAGTGTTTGGTGCGCTAGCGTATTCTTTGGTGTGAATTGAAGCCCGAGTGGGTGCATCGACACAGAGCTTCTTTTGTATTTCTTTTAGGAGGTGTTCTTCTGTACCGGCGTAGTTTCGAATAAGCCTCTGAAGGTGCTGCTTTTGTGCTGCTTTGGAGGGTTGCGTGGCTATAAGTGTGCGTAGCAGATGCCAGGTCTTCTTGGTACTCAGAGTCCCCTGCAGCTTGTCACAGAAAGCGTGCAGTTCTGCCTGGCCAATTGGTTCGCATAATCTTGAAATTGCTCGGTGAGGAGAAAAATGCGCTTCCGTAACTTTCTGTTTAGTTTTTGCCGCTTCCACCGGTTTAAAACTCCTCTTCTAGCCTCGCAAAGGTGGAGGAGATGTGCGTCGACGGCGGGTGTACTGACGTCAAGCTGTATGCCCTTAGTGTAGCGTTCGGCTATCTATAGGCCATTCTTAAACCAGTCTTCAGTGTCGAATATGGTGGTTTCAACGTTGAGGTTATTCCTAAAGGATTGCCATTCCGTTAACCGCGCTATTCCAGTCTTGCTTTATTTACGAGTGTGCACTACGGAGAGTTGGATGATGTGATGATCCCTACCTAAAGTTTCCGGTAGCACACTCTACTCTGCCCCAGTGACGTTCACCTAAATGTAAGATCGAGATTTGTATCCTTAGAGACGCTTTTCCCTGTTCTCGTCTTCTGAAGAGGGTCGTTCCACAGGGTTAGTCTGTGATGTTGAGCAGTATCGTGCACCCTAGAACCCTTCCTCGTGGTATTATGATAGCCCCATGCCGTGTGAGTTGCGTTAAAGTCTCCCATTATTATGATCTGGTGCCCATTCGTGCGTTTCCTGATTTCTCGTATGAATTGATGAAGTATGAAGTGAATTTTAGATGTCACTGTGACCTGACAAAAAAATGGTCTCGAAAAAATGCTGACCACATCTTCAAACGGAGTGAACTCGAGTACATATGTCGCAGAGGGGGGGGGGGGTATCGCCTAAATTTTGCGTAATTGGGTAAAGTTTAGGCATGCATAATTGTTATTTTGTCTTTAATGTTCTTATTTATGTAATGAAGAAGAAGCATTTCCTTCAACAAGTAGTGGGGTGCTGATGCGCGATCCAGTACCTACATACACCGGGTGGCCAGCGAACGGATGTGAAGCACGAGCAATCGACTTTTACTAGCAGACTCTGCCTTGGTCGGCCTTGCCAGGGGAAAGAATTTTCGGGAATACTTGTTAATTTGTAATTATTATTCCTATTTATTGAATGGAGGAAAATTGCTACTTTCAACAAGTGGTGGGATGCTGATGAGCGATCCAGCACCTATGCGGTGGCCAGTTTTTACTCACAGCAGTCAGTTTTTTACTCGCAGACGCAGCCTGTGTTGGCCTTGTGAGGCGTGAGAGGCGAGAAGGGCGCAAACAGTTGGCACGAGACACAAGCATGCGGCAGGTTACGTGAGGCGCGAGCATGCGCAGTAGAGGAATACGCAATGCCGATACACGACATGTGACATCGTGCGACAAAAAATTGCTGTGCATTTAAAACAGCACTTTATCTCGGTAAGCATACGAAAGTGGCCCATATGCTTGCCTATTGCTTTTGGTGTTTAGAGGATTTACAGGATAAAAACAGCTTCGGTGTATGGAGTGATTGTATTCCCTTGAACTAGCGTTTTGCCGAGTTACGCGTGATTGAATGGATATTAGTTGATTGGTAGCCCTACTTAGTGTGTTATAATAATAATTTCTCGTTAGCGCATTCATTGCTTCACCCTTGCAGCAAAACCGTGATTAGTAATAGCGAAGTTTTTTTGGCCGCTAATGAAATAACTGGTGTTTGCAGCAAACTATGATCATCATGAACAATTATGGGAAACAAGAAATGGGCGAACACCACAACTAACCCCTGGTCCACTTAAAATGAAGACATAAAACAGAAGGACGCCCAGTGCTGATTCTGATTTCTAAGCATATGTAGCCAGTAGTTGAGAAAAAATTATTAGAAAACCATCGACAACAAACGAGTTATGAATGCCGTGGCCGTACGTTTCAGTAGCGTCCTAACGGAGGGCTTCAGTGGTGCGTGCAATGATATAATACTAACAGTGAAAACAGCGGTGAGTCGGTGACTTCTAGAAGACCCCGAAGCGTTAGAACAGCCGGTCCCAGCACAAGGTTGTGTCTGTCTAGTTTTGATATTCATATCGTGTTCGTGATTGACTGCGATTAACATAAACTTCTCCGTGCTGAGGAGGAACCTAGAAACAACCTAGCGTCACGCAGTTTAAGCCCAGCTACAACCTAGAAGCGACTAGATTGGACTTCAGGTACATTCAGCATCACTGTCTCAAGCGTTGCGCGACTTAGTGAGAGCTTAGCTATTTTAGGGGCGAAGCTTCTTATGGCGTCGCTTGTGCTTCCCCATTGTGGGTAACCGCCCCTCGTTATTTCTTCGACGAGCTATAGATGGTGGTACATGTATTACACACTGAAAAATGCGAAGGGTACGACACCAGAGCATGCTACTTGTAGAAGAGAAGAATTGACGTCACACGTATGGAAGGACAGAGAGATGATCGCACGACTACGGTCGTGTGTTCTTCGGCAGCACTATGCACCAGGGGGTGCTCTATAGTACAATAATAGCGCCATTCTGTCACGTGCACACACTCAGAGGTTCGGCGATGGAGAATGACAAGTCTGCTGAGCGGTGTGTGCGCAGGGCGGCGGCGGCTCGCGCTCAAAGAAGGCACCCTGACGTGCTGGTGCGCGAGGCAGAGGCGGACCGCGCGGATTCTGCAGTACAATAACAGGAGGCCGAAGTGGCTCGGCAGTGGCGTGTGGACTCAGCTTCGCCCCCCTCTCCATGATTCACCCCGTGAATATGCCATATTTTTAACATTCAAAACCCTGTCTTAGAAGAAATTTATTTGCTGGTACTTCTAATGAAGATACAATTCTGTTTCAGAAATCTGTGGTCTGGAGATGCCCCCGGTGGGAAAGTTTATGCCAGTAGTTGTGAGGTAAGTTATTGCAAAATATACAATGAAACATGGGTGCGGCTTTCTTTATATAAGAAAGCAGGACACGGAACGCCCTGGGAGATACATACAACTTTTCTCAGGCTCTTTGTGGCATAAAAGTACCGCAGCCACTAATTAGGCAGAAAAGTTCAACTTATTATGCGAAAGTGCGTGATGCTCCAGGGTCTTGTGACGTTGCGTTTTACGCTGTCTTTCGCGTGTTTTTGACAGCTCTTCACAAATGCGCAGGCTGTTTTGGCATGCTTCGAGTAAATATAGTATTTTTAGGTAGAGCAGCCATACCAGATTTCCAACCTCTCAAGTGCAGCGTGATTGTCGGGATTTAAAATACAAAAAATGAATATATCAACAGTATCTTAAATAGTGTAAAATATTCAATGGCCGTGTACGCACTGCTCATCAGGTGATACTAAGACCAGGTGATACTAACTAGATCGAATCGCTGCACTTCTGTTTGAGCATCTTCATTTGTAGTGTGTTTCAGATGTTCATCATACGCAGCATGACAACTATGAGAAAGTTGTTGAGCTGCGCAGAATGCTAGCAGCGTACGCTAAAACAGCGGCCTTTCTATACTCCGCTGTAAACTCCCATATAAACTGGCTTCTGTATCAGCAATTCGGTAGAACCTAATCCACCATTGTTGCGTAGTGTTTGTTGAAGTGAAATATGCGCTACTCGTCTGAAAGGCAACATGCCCACCTACGTTGCTACACACTACGTTTATGCTGAGCCCTGTCATGGCGGCCAGTTATTTATAAGCGCTTTGTAATATTGTAATAAACTCGTGAATTAAAACTATCTTTGCGCTATGAGATTCTGATCGTTTGGTGCCTGGAGCGACTGTGGCCTTCTGCTGCTGTATATTTACATAACAGCTAACGTGAGTACTCGTGAAACAAAGCAACTGTATAGAATATTTCTTCTACGCAGCCTAAACCTCTGGTGTGTTTTGTGCAAAGGAGAAGGGGGGAAGAACATAAGCGTTTAACATGAATAATATCGGCATTCAGGTTCTTGAATTCTCCTCTTTTTTCTCTCTATTTTTATCGCTTCGGCACACATCAGTGGCACTGGCGGTAGGCAATATCGACGAAAGAGTCACCTCTAGTGGCATTTGCTACCTACAATTTGTCACGACCATGTGAGACTATCTTAGATTGTAAAAAGCTCAATAAGCAATCGGTAACATGGCGAGCATTTGTCTCGAAGTAGTTCAGCCAAGGATATTTTAGTTTGTTTCCTTCTCCTCCAGCACAAGGTTATTGTGTATATAGGCCAGTATGCGTGTATGTGTGAGTTGATAGCTATCGCAAAAGTGAACACGAGTTTCTGAAACTTCGCCAGCGACTAGTCTCCCATCATATAGGACTCATCAAGTGTGAATACGCCTTTTGTAGAGTCACCACTAACAGTCGGTCATCACATTCCTTTAAAAAAGTCGCCCGAAGAACGTTGCGAGATGAGGACATCAACAAAGGATGTATTGCTACGAAGGCCCTCTTGGGCAGTGGACGTTTATAGTTGTTTAGCGATATATTCTTTCTTCTTGGGCAGTAGTGAGCTCTAGCGCATAGTTAAGAATAATTTTTCTACTTGTGACAACCACTGTGCACCAAGCTACGCAGCCTTTCTCTTTTGACTGCTTAGCCCAGCGTGGCATGGCCACTTGCTGCAACACGCTTCCGATAAGGGACAGCGTGACTGGAGTTTCAGCGGAGGCTTACGTCACCACTGGTGGCTATATAACTCTGTCTGCTAATTTCGGTTTCATTCTTGCTTCTCTAAACATTAGAAGGTAGCAGCAGCATGCTCGCCGCGATACAGCTACCACGTTAATAAACAATCGTTACGCTTTATTCTGGGATGCGTCCTTCTAACGAAAGACATCGCATATCTCTTGACTCAAAAAGCGAAGAAGCCACGCCAAAATGACCGACCCGGAAGCACTTGCCGCTAATCACAGGAAGTACAGCAACTTAAACAGCAATTGCAGGCCAAGCAGCAGATGCTTCAGCAGCAGCACGAGAGAACTGAAGCGTATTCGCTCGACGATTGTGCATCACCGCGCTCTGGCCACGCTCCTCAGACTGCGTTTTAGTGGTTGCTATCAACAATGGGACTGTCACTACCACGGCCATGACGGACCTAAATCTAGCATGTAGCTCCAAAACTACCGGCCGTTTGAGTGAAGGCGCCAAAAATGTGGTTCCCACAGGTCGAGGTCCAGTTTTCACTGCCGTGCATTATGCAGGACTGGGCCCATTACTATTACATTGTCGGCCACTTAGACGCGAGATATGCGAACGAGGTCCGCAATACTCTGGTCAACCCACTACTGACCAACCGGTACAAACCAATGAAGACCAAACACGTACGCCACCTGTCATCTTCGGATAAACAGTAGTTGTGACAACTTCAGTTCGCGGTCTTTGTCAAACGCAAACTTCCGCAGCTGCTCCGCCGCATGAGCGTGCTCACGGGCAGCATGGAAGTTGCATATCCTTTCCTGCGAATGATATGACTCCAACAACTTCCGCCGCACGTCCAAGCAATTACACAGGCTCCGCCCAGGTTTCCTTTCACCGACCTTGCCAAGGTCCCTGACCGCAACACGGATGTCTTTATGCCACATTCATTGCCCACCATCGAAGCTATCGCCGCACCGCTGAACAACACAGAGCTCTCACGCCCTATTTGCAAAAACAATCGACAACTCGGCTCTATTCAGAAACGCCTCGATGAGCGAATTTCAACACGTCAGCGATGCTAATTGAAAATCAGTGACTGGGACACCAGCTCCTCACAGTAGCCTGCTGAGCACAGCTAGTGCCTTTATACCATCATCATTTCGGTGACAGAGCACGGCAACGCCGACCACCCTGCTTCGCCTACAAGAAACTCGAACGGTTGCTTGTAGAGATGACCCCTAGTGGCGAACCTTGAGGCCGTCGCATCTTTATTACCGATGCAATCGCAAAATAGCATTTACTTGTGGACTATAGCTCCGACATCTCCTACTACCTACGAGCCCATCTTCAAGGTCCTCAGCCGCCGATATTTTGAGGTAAATGTGGTGACCCTGTCCACACACTAGACGTACGGCTCAGTTCGCTTCTACGTCTAGCCCAAGAACCCATGCGCAACCTTCGCTAGAACATTGTCGACGCCAGTGTCACCAAGCCAATCATTGGGTCAGACTTGACGGCTCACTACAACCTGCTTTCAAAGTGCCCCAACGACCAGCTAATCGACGCAGCAACGGGACATTCCGGACCAGTTCAGCCAGCAACCATCCGTGTTAAGAGCAGAGGCTCAGGCCGCAGACAACTTCTAAAGGCAACCACAATCGGCAACCAGTCTTATGCGACACGTGACAGAACAAAGCAGCCCTTATGGGCCCCAGTCCCATCACCGTGGTCTCTCCAACCAGCAGCTCTACAACCTGAGTCATCTCGTCACACGCGCCTCTACACGCAACTTGGCTGACTTGAATCACGCTGCATGTCGGGCCCGACATGCAGTGAGATTGTCGCACATGGGTGCACTCTTTCATTCGCTACCAACGCGCTAAAATTACCAGGCACGTGACGTCTCCACTCAGAACACTTCTCAGTCCTCTGGTCAATTAGAGCCCATCCCCCTCACCATCATACAACCCATTTTCCAGGCTGGACGCTAGTGCTACTAGCTCACCCTCATCTACTGGCCCACTAAATATCCCCGCGCATGGCCCCTTGAGAAATCATTGCCAAAGACGCTGCCTCGAAATTCTTCCCCGACTGAATCGCTCGTTTTGGCGCCCTCCACCGAAAAACCACCGACCAAAGACAACAGAACGTGTTGCACCTTTTTAGGCTGCTCGGACGGGCTATCTGTTTTGAACGCTTTTGAACCACCAGTTAACCCCCTTGTGCTAACAGAAGGATCAAGCGTTTTCACCTAGAGTTAGAGGCTGCCATTATGTTCCACCAGAAACCAACCTGCCTCGAGGTTATCCCAGCTGTCATCCTCGGTCATTGCGTCACCTTCAAGCCTGGCATCCATGCCATGCCAGCAGGGCTTGTCTACAGGGAACCACTCCATCTCTAAGGTAAATTTCTCGCAGGCCTACCATTCAGCACTATCACGTCGTCAAACACCACCGACTTCATCACCCGGATCGAAGCACCATCGTCGCCTCACGCCCGTCACCTACAGCGCACCACAACAAGCTCACACTTTTTGTGTTCAAGGAGGTAGCATCGGACACACACGCTTGTTTCTGCAATTGCACCGACTGTCAGCTTTTCCTGCCACCCTAGACTGGGCACTACCTAGCCGTCCATCGTGACAAGAACTCGGTGCCTGAACGGCAAGAACGCCCGTGACTCGATTGACTGACTCAAGCATCCTTTCACAGTTTTCAACACCGCAGCCCACTCCTTCCACGGTGCACTCTGGATGTCCGCTACGCCTGGCCGATTTCTGAGAATCCCGAGGTTTCTGCATTCTGCAGAGGATGACGTGGCGACAGCTGTGCACGAATCTGCGCAGCCTCTAAGCATGGCGGGACGCAGCCACTTGCCGCAACACGCTTACGGTAAGGGGCAGCGCCACCGCAGGCTCATCGGAGTATTACGTCCCAACTGGTGGCTTTACAATTCAAGCTGCCAATTTCGGTTGCATCCCTGCTTTTCTGGCCATTAGATTGCAGCAGTGGCATGCTCGCCCACTGCTTCTATCAAATTAAGAAACGATCCCTGAGTTTTATATTGGGATGTGTCATTCTATTGACACGGTATCCCACATACGGTTTTTCGATACTTCGAGCGTATTTCTTTAACTACGAGAACGGTGAGCGTGCACAATGGCCTGAGGGAAGAGCAAGGGTGAAAAAACATTCAGCGGATCCCACGTACCCGGGAATCGACGTTATGCGAAGCATGCGGAGTGATGGTGACAGTGTTGCATTTTTTTAATCGAGCAACGCGTAATTA